CCCTGCACCTTTAAAACACAGATACAATGCTTAAAGTTGGAGATGAGTTCCGCCACCGGTTTTCCTATACGCAGCAGGACGTTAATGATTATGCCCGTATCAGCGGCGATACAAACCCATTACATACCGACGAGGCGGCCGGTAAGGCCAGCATGTTCGGTCGTAATATTATTCATGGATTTTTGGGGGGCAGTGTTTTTACCAAAATATTTGGCGCGCTCTGGTATGCGGATGGTCATGTGTACCTGAATCAAACCATGAAATGGATGAAGCCCATGTTTACAGATCACGAGTATGAGGCTGTTGTGAAAGTAAAAGAGATATTCCCGGAAAAAAACAGAATTACTTATGAATGTGCAGTTTACGATCCCGCCAGTGGCGACCAGACCATTGCCGGCGAAGCCACATTGCTAAATAAAAAGCAATACATCTGGGATTAATATTTTAGTAGTAATGTCTGATTTTAGTAAGCGTTCTGTTATCAGAACGCTTTTTTATTAATCTGTCTTAAATAGTATCTACCTTACACCTATTGATCAGGCATAATTAAATACAGATAAAGGAAAAAACTTTTTCAATTTTTTTTTGCATTTCACAAACCTTCACGCAAAAAAAAACGTCTATTAGATAAGGGCATATTAAATGACAACGTTTATTTTCGCCCGACAGATATAATTTCAGGCAACTGAAATTTTTTTTAACTTTTTTTACAACGTTGGATACTAAAATTTAAATATCCCTCGTTTAACAATTCCTAAACATACCGGATATCGCTTCAACTTTTACGCTTTAGCACACAATTTATCACGTATGGCGCAAGCCATATTTTCCTAACACGTACGAAGTATGCAAGCATTACATCAACTCACAGACGCAGAGCTGATATCCTCCTATCAATCCGGTAGCAGTCAGGCTATAGAGCTACTGATCAACAGGTACAAGGACAAGGTGTTTACCGGTATTTTCATGCTTGTCAAGGATCGTTTCCTGGCAGAAGACTTGTTCCAGGAAGCATTCCTGAAGATAATCCGCACCATTAAGAGCGGCCATTACTCCGAACAAGGAAAATTTCTCCCCTGGGCTATGCGGGTATCGCATAATCTATGCATGGATCACTTCCGAAAAGTGCGCCATGATGTGCCCATTACCCTGCCTGATGGAAGAGACCTCTCGGAAGTGCTTTCCCTTTGCACGGGCGATGCCGCCGAGGCCCTCGAGCGCCGGCAAACCCATGAATGCATTCGCGAACTGGTAGAACGGCTGCCTGATGAACAGCGGGA